CGCCGTAAGGCCGGATCCGTGCCACCGATGAAAGGCACCCCCTCTTCCCGCAGCTCGGACTCCATGCCGGTCTCGCCAATGATGAAGACCTTGTTCTTAGGTGCGGGTAGCTTCAAGATGCGCGATATATATATTGCGGCTGAGTAAGACGAGCCGAATATCTCCTCAACATTACTGGGGATGCCCAAGTTCTTGAGCTTCAGCTGATAGGCTGGTCTGTCTTTTGTGGAATTGTTGGTGACGAATACGATCCGTTTCCCTGCTCCAGATTAGTCTGTAATAAGGACGTATACACGTTGTGTATTTGGTGTTTTTTTTTTTTTTTTTTTTTTGTTTTTTTTTTTGTTGAGCTTGGCTTACCCCTGGATCTCAGCATTTCCAGCGTTTCGACGGTGCCCTCGAAGACGTGGTCCCCAGACCACAAGACTCCTATAACGTAGCATATCAGCTCTCTGGCTCTCTAATCCTATTTAAAACCCAACTAGGTAGTTATTCTAACCATCGCAATCAAGTAAAAAGGCCTAGATATATAAAGTAAGACTTGATGTTATAGCAATGGCGGGCTTAGGTTTAAATGACGCACGTCAAACTTGTCAAGAAACTCGTTGATGGCAGCTGAATCGCCGGTTAAGTATTTAGGTGCTTGCGACATTCTGTATTCGATAAGTTCTAAGGAACGCAACAAATCTATATTACAAATTGATGTTCGGTGGCAGGCGTTATCGTGATGATCTACCTGCCGTAAAAAGTGGTTGTATGAGTGAGTGAGTAAGAGTGAAACAAGTTTACTTGACATCAGCAGCGCCAGTGTTTGATTCAACCACCGTTCGTTTCACGGCGCTAAGTACGACACCTCTTACTCATCGCGCCTATGCCCTGGAATGGACAAAAATATCAACTCAATACTTAATACATTAAGTATAACTCTCTTAGAAATTCTATTGCGTGTTATGTCATTGTATGAATATTTTCATTTTTGACGCTCAGCATCGAAATAAGGACAACTTACAAGAATAGGATTTTCTTTTTACTAAATACGTATTGTACAGTGCAACGAAATCAGGTACTACTGTAAACCGGATCGGTGTTGGCACTGTACCGGCCAGATATACTTTAGGTACCTTGGGTTGAACATGAACCGCAAGGTACGCCCAACGATCTAGATCTGCACTCAACAATGCATACCATATCGACGGCTTCTCTATCTACCTTAGGTAGGTAGGTACATATGCATGATTCGGGATCAGAGTCTACTTACATAGTATTGCTCCGAATTATGCCAAGCAAGGTGCCGAAGAACTACATAGCATTAAGATTTAACAAACCTCATCACCGTTACCGCAGCTTTCCGTCATGCCGTATACTTGCACAGCACTAAGACCAATTAACGTCACAATTCTCAAGTCTCAAGTCTCAAGTATAGAGATCGGTTGCTATATTCTTGCTGCATTGAAACCCTACCAGTGTGGAATTGTAGAACGTGGGCAGAATTGTACCTGGAACTGCCGGTAAGGCCGCATGTGTAATCATACCCAAAAGCTGCTGCCGTATGGTCGCAACAAGAATTTTTTGGTGAGCCGTAAAGGTTACGATTCGATAGAATATCCTATCGAATATCCGATCATACTTACACCAGCAGTGGGGATTACTCGTCACTTGTCCTTTCGGCGATAACAAGAAGAATTAATACCTAGACTGGAATTAGATGGTTCCAGTTGGTTTAGGCGGACAAGGTGGACAAGGTGGACAAGGTGGAAATTCTTTGTTTAGAGGAAGGCTCGGTGTATTGTGTGTATGTAAGTGCCGCGATATGTGATGGGAGACTAAACCAAAAGCGGTGTTAAATTCCAAAAACCTTCGAAACTTCGAAAACCATCGAAGAACTCATCATCGTGAACATCATTGACCCAATACCGCCTGGGCCGGCTGGGCTAAACTTCGTCTAGGTGGGATAAGCAAAAGGTGACATAATTGGTTGGTCGGCGGGGGTCCTTGCAGCAAATGCAGATACAGCTATACAGCTATACAGCTATGTATTCTAAAAGACGCAGAAGACGCAAGGGCCCCGCATTGGCTTTCGTTCTGATGTTGCGCATAGAAGAAAACCCCCACTCGTCCACCCAATCCACCCTTCCTTCCAGTGAGTGTCCCACACCTTCCACGGAAAGGAGCCCACTTATCTACAGGCTAGCTCCCTGTCCCGCCCCTCTGGTTATCCAAGATCAGTAAGCCCTACGTCAATCATCGAACTACCCCTCCGTATGTTTTTTTTCTCCCTCTTCTTTTTTATCCTTTTCGCAAAAAAAACACCGAACGTTGACACAACAACCTAATCTACAACCTTTTACATCCCCATACCCCTTACTCACGCCTACTGTATATGCCTGGGTAAATATTACTACCAAATTGTAACGAGAATATATAATCCGGGCAGAATCTTGGTAGTTGCGTCATCTCGATTTAAACGCCACTATAAACAATATTTGGTATCCCTCTGATACCAAGCAAAGATTTAATATCTCGCATACAACTCGAAGCTTAGTTCTTTGCCCTTTTTATAGCTAACCGACCCGGACTTGTCAGTCCAATTGCAACACGACTGGTGGGCGCCAAGGTCCCTAGCGGGATACCTAGGTAGATTCTTAACAACGAGTGGACACCGCTAACGCCAACCTAAGATACATGTGCAATTGATGCAACTGTATCATAAATATTCGATATCGTCAACTTCCCACCTGGGTAGTCTGTCATACCAATTTCAGCATCGTAGGGACCAAAGAACAAGCAGAATAAATTACTTAAAGGGTTTACATACACCCACCGTTCCAACTTGATTGTCGCAGTGTGGTACTTATCTATTTTTTTTATATCTATATCTTATCAAGATTTGGCTATTATCTAACCTAAATCTCTTAATATAAGTCGGGTAGTTTTACCTATTAAGTTTCTGTGGTAGTTGTTTCCCTAAGGGAAAAAAAAAAATCACTCGTGAAAGCTGCCTAGGTACAACACAGGTAGGTAAACCTTTACCTTGCCTTGCTTTTTTTTTTTACCCCACCATCCACTACCTGCTCATCATCTTTCGCAAACAATCTGCACAGCCAATTTCTTTAATTTCGGCTCACCTACTTACACCGACCTACCATATTCATCATATTCATTATTCATATTCCACATTCCACATTCCACATTCCACATTTATAACTTACCCGCTCAGGTACTACGTATTTAACAGTGGCACGCTCATTATTAGCACACCACTATGCCGGGAAAGCAACCCAATTTGTTCGCTTTTAGCGATATTGAAGCTCTCGCCCCCGCCCTGCGATCCTACATCATCACATGCCAAAACGCTGGCATCACACGTCATGGCGTCTTTAAGGTCGCCGTTTCTGGCGGTTCGCTACCCAACACCCTCGCCAAGGCTCTCCTTACAAGCCCCAAATCCGACGAAGATACGGTAAAATTCGACAAGTGGGAAATATTCTTCGCCGACGAAAGAGCCGTACCTCTAGATCACGAAGACAGCAATTACGCATTGGTCAAGACGGAACTGCTGGACAAGATCCCCTCCGAGCTGGGCCAACCGACTATACACCCAATTGACACGCAATACCTGAATGACACGCAGGAGCTAGCTGATCAGTATGAAAAAGTACTAGTCAATTCCTTTGCTAAGGGTGACTCCGTCAAGCTGCCCATCTTCGACCTGTTACTCCTTGGTTCCGGCCCAGATGGACATACCTGTAGTTTGTTTCCGGGCCACCCACTTCTCCGTGAGACGGACGCGTGGGTAGCGCCCATCGAAGACTCACCAAAGCCGCCGGCTCGACGAATTACTCTAACGCTACCCGTCGTCACGCACGCCGTCAAGGTCGCCTTTGTCGCTACGGGCGCCGGAAAGAAGGAGATTATGAAGGAGATATTCGAGCAAGGCAACGGGCTACCGTGCGCGCTTGTCAACGAGGCGACTGGCGAGCGATGCAGTTGGTTCACTGACAACGCCGCCGTAGAAGGCGTCAGCTTCCCCCGACGTGGATTCCTGTAAAGTTGATGCGAAGTGGGAGTGAGGGGGATATACCATGGGCTATAGCTACCTACCTACCTAGCCTAACCTAAAGCAAGGCAGGACTAGACGATAACATGAGAGGGGAAATCTTTTTTTTTGGCAGGTGTCTCGAGGTTCCGCGAGCGAGTGACGAGTGCTATCTTCGCTCTTCGATTCACGGCTGGGCTGGCTTAATCTAATTTTTTTTTTTAGACTTAACGACGAGTGGGAGATTCTCACAACAAGCATTGAGACGTACGTGCGCATTTACCTACCCATTGCATTCGTCAAATACGACGAAAAGGTGCGTGTACACGTATGTGTTGGGTGTGTGTGCGTGATGGGGCATAGATCTCTCGGGGCAGGGATTTTTTGATACCAAGCACGGATTAATTTAACTAGAGAAAGTGATTGATATACCCCCTCTATCATCTATCTCAGAACCTGTCGTCATTATGTTCTTGATCGAGAGGCTTTGAAATATTGGCTACGCTTTCTGATTACGGTTTACGTGATAGGTGGATTCCTTGACTGCTTTGTTGTGGTTTTGCTGTGCATGAGGGTATCGTCTTGATCTGAATGCTTGTTCTTAGGTGTATCACACGTATTTCATTCCAGCCCCTGATTTCTAGGTAGGTAGTTTTGTCTTGAGGAGGTGTAATGTGTATAAATAGGACAATATGTACGATTCTCGGTCCGCTTACAAGACCACCATCCATCAAATAAAACAGGCTGCTTGTATCTAAAATTCCTCATTTGAGATCGAAATCCGTAGTTCGGCAAGTTCTTAACCTACCTAAGGTTAGGTACGTAAAATTATGATTGATATCGCAGTAGGTTATGAGCTAGCTAGAGGAATGAAGACCGTAGCTAATTAAGTATGAGTGAAGCCTTTTAGACAACAGTAACCAGTGAAACAGAAATGCAGAATAAAAAAGGAAAAAGAATACACTGGCCTGGACGGGGTTTGAACCCATGACCTTTCCAACCTCGACCTTTCACCCGAGTTCATTGCTCGGGAGCGCGTTATGATGGAACGTGCTGCCACTACACTACCTACGTATCACCGCTCTACAGTCACCCTACATTGGAACTCGCCAGGAAGCCAGCTTTCTATAGCAACAGGGAGGGGACCTGTACGTTTCTAAACGCCCCCAAAGATAACACGGACTTACGGCAATAACCTTGAGCAAAGTTTTTAATGTTTTCCTTTTCTTTTCTTATGTTGACAATTTTGTGTGTAAAGCCGCATGCTTTACTTTAGCCATACGAGTCCTCGCTCTCTGGACTGTCCATTTCCCATACATAACCCTCCAGGGCGAGTTATACATACCTCCATACTACCCAACTAGACCCCTTTTCCTTGCGTCCTTCTTCGCCCCTTTCCCTATTTCCCTATTTCCCATCTTCCTATCTTCTTAACTTTATAAAGGGGGTGTTATAAGCAATAAGCACATATGCATATACATATATATACCTACCTACCTACCTAGGCACCTCTTATATTAGGTACCCAAGGTACCTAAAGGCAACCTAGCCCTACCGTCCCTCGAGCTTCTTCTCCCTAATAAACGTCGACGAGGCCAGCGCGGCGGCAGCCAGGATGCCCACGGGGAGGAAGGCCCACTGGACGGCGACGGCGTAGCAGGCCCTCACGAGCTCGGCGACGGGGGGGTCCAGCGTGCGGATGAAGTCGAGGCTCTGACGAACGCCCTCCTCGATCTCGCGGGCGCGGCCGCCGTCGCCGCCCAACGCCACCGCGAGCCGCGTCCGCAGGGCCTGCTGCAGGACCGCCGTCGAGATGCTGACGCCGAGCGTCGTTCCCAGCGACCGGAACAGGTACGAGCACGCGATGGCCACCGCCGAGTCCGACGGGTTCGCGTTCGCGATGATCGCGATGAGCGTGCTGGTGATTGCTGGGGGTTGTCATGTTAGCCGTTATTTCTTATAAAAATGAGATAAAACGAAGAACAAAAAAAAAAAAAAAAAAAAAAAGAGAGAGAGAGAGAGTGAAAACATACAAGCACCAGACCCGAGCGCCATGATACACAAGCCCGCAATAACCCCCACGGTGGACTTGACCACGGCGCCCGAGAAGGACACGGAGGGTGCTATGCCGAGAACCACCAGTGCGTACCCGACCACCGTGATCCAGTAGTACTTCCCTGTACGACGCATGAAGATGCCGCCGCCCAGGGAGCCCGTGAGCCCGAACACGGTGCTAGGGATGAACATGAGGCCCGAAGAAGTGGCCGAGAGGCCGACGGCGGCCTGGAAGAACAGCGCGATGAAGAAGGAGACGCCCATCTGGGCGGCGACGCCGAACAGGTTGGCCCCGTACACGGCGAGCAGGGGCGGGTCGAGGATGACGTGGCCGGGCGCGAAGGGGACGGCCGCGACGCGGATCTCGATGAGGAGGAACAGGGCGAAGAGGAGCGGGGTCAGGGCCAAGGGGACGATAGTAATTCGCTGGTTCCAGCCCTCGTTGCTGCCGTTGTCGAGGCCGAACAGCAGCGCGAACACGGCCGAGACCAGGGTGAAGGCCCCGAGGAAGTCGATGCGCGCCACCTTGTGCGTCCAGTGCGCGTGGTCCGTCCGCGGCAGGTCGAGGACGAAGAACACAGCTAGCCACGCGAGGAGCGAGAGCGGGAACTGGCCCGCGAACGCCCATCGCCAGCCGATAGTGTCGGCAATCAGGCCGCCGATCGGTGCGCCGGACGCCACTATGATAAGGAGAGTTAATGATTGATTACTAGTTTGAGACAAGCGTTTGGTAGATTTAAGAATGTCTCGGGCACAATGTAACCCATTCCGCCCAAATACGGGAATACTAAATCCGAGACAGGATCCTAAAGGGGCAAAAAGAAATTTGTATCGTTATACGTACTGCCCGCGGTGTACACAATGTTGATGTAGCCCTGGAAGAGGCCGCGGTCCCTGAGGGACACGAGATCGGTGACCAGGATAGTCACGACGGCGTTCATGCCGCCGCCACCAACGCCGGCTATGGCGCGGGCCGCGCATAGCTCGACGATATCGCGGGATAGCCCGCAGCCAAGACAGCCGAGACCAAAGACGGCGTAGGCAAACAGCAGGCACTCCTTGCGACCGAAGATGTCAGACAACCGGCCGTATAGGGGCTGAAATACTGTCAGCGTTAGGAAGTACGAGGTAGATATCCAGCTCGTCGAGTTCAAGGCGTTGAGATCACTACCCATCTTGCCGTAGGTGGCGATAGTTAACGTCTGGTCTAACGCCACCATAAATATCTACTCCTATTAGCAATTCCGGTCTACTTTGGTGCGAATGCATTATACACATTGCATATACATAGATATATATATATGCATATATATAAAGATTAGTCCTCATAGAGTCCTTCACTTACACCAATAGCAAGCGCCGGTAGGAGCGCCTTCATGTTTACTTTCAATTTCGGCGCACTCCCGCTTGGCGTAGAGCCGCCGGGGCGGCCATTTTCTACATCGTTTTCGGGGAAATCGCTGGCGACGGAGTTGTTCGAGCTCGAGGACGTGCCATTGGATTGGCTCTGAGCCGAGACGCTGACTACAGAAACATCTTTCTTAAGCAGCGGTGTCGTCTCTGCGGCCCCTTCGTTAAAGGTAGGGGCAGTGTTGTTAGAAGACATCGATCTCAGATTCAGAAGACTTTACAAAGATCGAAATGTAATTATACAAAAGAAAAAAAAAAGAATAATAAAAGAATAAAAAATCCCAACTACGTCTTCTATTTTGTCGCGAGAAAGGCGAAGAGATCCTGCGAAATTGACTAGGTATAGACTAATATCTGGTCTCGCTCGCATGTGCTATTTCCCGTATGGGAGACAGCTATTGCTAACAAAGACGGCCTTAAGCCCGTTGATAGCGGTCTGCATATCAACTATCACGCAATTGGAAGATCCTGCAATTGATTGATTGATAATCTATGGGCTTGCAGACTCGTTGGGGCTGACGAGATAACGTTCGCCCGCAATCGCTAACGGTCCGCCGTAACCCCATTTTATAGCCCCGCAAGCTGGAGGTGTATTGGATTATATTGTATTGTACTTAACTGTAATTCGTAGAGATGGAAGACATTTTGAAGAGAGTCGAAAGTTGAGTTCTATTGTTGTATAATCTGCTTTGTGGTAATTGAGCTAATTTTGGTTAATAATTGTGTCTGCTCATTTCATACCTTCATTTTCTGCAACGGGGACAACGTTGACGGATTCGTTGTTTAACCTGGAATTGAGATAGACTCAACCCACGATAATCTTATCCCCGTGTTAGACGCAGTGGTCTCTCTCAAGTGCATGATAAGTGGCTACCAGTCAGGATTTCGGGAACTAATTAATGCACGTTACCGCGACGCGTTCGTATAGGTTTGATCTTTACATAGATGATAATACATAGTACCATGCGTACTAAGTAAAGAGACTGGCATCCGGGCCTGTGGAATTTGTGCTGCATCGTCTCGGATGAATAAACCGTCCTGTACCTATTTAAAGACACGCAGGCATCTGGTCAGGGCTTTTCGTGCGTTTCACAGCTTACTTAGATCAATAAATTTCCGTCACTTTATCTTCATGTCTGCGTCGTCTGCGTCATGCATTATGTCGCGTGGTATAATTTATAACCTGTAAAATTGGTTTGAGGTAAATAACGCCTAAATGCCATTGTCAGTTCCCGATCTCTTCACATAGCTATCAGATAGTTACTTGACTTACAAGTAAACTCAAGTCCTAATCAGCCACCAAACCGGCCTAATGGTTCAGTGGCAGAGTGGCTCCAGATAACTTGATCCCAACTCCCGAAACATACCCACACCAGGATAGCAACTAGTTAGGTTAGTTTCACCTTATAGTTAATCGGAACTCAACATCACCGGACGAGAACACATCTTCAAGACGTTTGAAATTCCTAGTAGCGGTATTACGCCATACGCGATGCTAGTTTTGCCATCCTGGAAGTTGAACCCTGATTATGGCCTGTAGATATCTAGGTATGTGGCGAGTCTTCAACACGTGTATAGGTAGGTACCTACGTATCAAGTCAGATCTGCAAGGGAATACAAAACACACTTAGGTGCTAATCTCCGGTTCTGCCGAAGTTCCAGAGACGTTTGCACGTGAAGCTTTGATAGGGTCTCCAAGTCGGGAGAGAATGCTACCTATTGATTCTTGTCGAGGGTCCCTACTGGCTAACCCTTCCGCACGTCGGACGGGATTAACCATGCTCGAATGTGCAGTCCTAAGCATAGCCTACTTTGGACGAAATTTCGATGTGTTTGTGCGCACTTGGCCACCCATTATATGATATATACAATTCCAGGTTGCTTGAAGGGCATAGCCTCAGGTTGTTCCCCCATCTATCGTATCATTGATGATTCCTAACGATATCCCGTGTGGACGATCGTGGCTGGAGCGATTTTCGCACACCACATCTTCGATATGGGTGTCTTGCTAGTCTCATTCTAGTCTAGTGGTAACATTATCAAATTAGACATGTCCTCGAGATCTCTAGGCGTCAGCGCCGGTACCCGTCTAAGGTGGCAAGGATCTTCTGTCTTCTTGCTTTCCGCCTCTCTCTTTGTGCGTGCTTTTATCTTAACTCGCCATTCGAGTAACAGATCCATACCCTAAACAGTGTCAATTGTAAACGCCAGTCAAGTTGTCAACTCACTAAGCAATAGAAAGGCTTGAGGGTGAAAAAAAAAGAGACACATGATAGAAATCCACTTAATCCCGTTAATTAAAGTTACCTAAATACCCTCCTCTTTGGGATTTTCCTGTGGCTGAAACACCCGTTCGAGGGTTCATCTCCACGAGGGGGGGTTACAGTAACCATGCAGAGACTTGCTGTTCTAGAGAGAGACGAAAAGGATTCGCACATTGCAGTGTAAGCCGATACATAACAGATCGAGCGGGCCTCCCACTAAAGAGCACCCAAGTCTGTAGGGCTAGCTCCGACTCGCCCCTGACCCATCTCCAAACTTGCTTCCTCCCTTGGCCAGTTTCCGTAGCAGTCTCGCAGGAAAAATCTGAAAAGAACGTTGAGGTCT